GTCTTGACAGTACGGACCGAGCGCAGCGAGGTCCGTACAAAAAAAACCCGAGGGCCGATATTCTTCCAGTACGGTCCCGAGCAAGCTTGGTTAATAAGAGATTTATTATACGCCTGAAGTTCAAAGGGACACACGTGCAGTATCACTTGGGACTCTTCGGGACAGTGCCCGGTCCAATACTGAGAGAATATTGACCGGCAATAGAGCATTTTGATTGGTTGATTTTAGTTATTGGCCCTCTGACTGCCCGAGTCGTGTAATAAAATGGCCTATTGACCGGGAGCTAGAAAGGTTGAAAACATCCTAATAATATTAATGAATAAAGGCTGATAGTTTCTAAAGAAACTGTTTGGGGCTGCGTCGGTGGGGGTAACGAAATAATTTGAATATATCAACGAAGTTGAAATGGTAAATTGGCCACCGTTACGATTATAAAAGCTGACGTTTCGAGCATTAGCCCTTCGTCGGAGCGAATAGGGGAATTGTGGGTTGTGTGTGCTTTTAAAGGCAGAAAAAGGAGCTACGAGAAACGTCAGCTTTTACAACCGTAACGGTGGCCAATTTACTATTTCAACTTTGTTCATATATTCTAATGATATTAACTTGGTTATAGTACCAGTGTTCGTTTCGTGATCCCATACACTCACATGCTGTTAAACATCAACAAAATCTGGTGATGTTTCCATTCAACATGGTCTTACTTCTAGTAGTAAACTCACTTTTTTAATTTCAGTGACTACCAATACTAGGAGGATACAAAACTCCAAGGGAGGGGTAGCTGGAGGGAGAGAAGGTGAAGATGGTGATACCTCCCACTCCCTCCAAACCTTAAGAGTAATCAGGATCTTATTTTTCCTTACAATATCACCACTGAATCATTCAGAAAGGTAATGAGATTGAAGGAAATGATTGCCAATCTAAGATTTGGCTGTCAAACAAATTCTCTGTTAGTACCTAAGGAAAATGAAGAAGCAAGTATGGAGAACAAAGATACTGATGTTAGGGAGTTAATGAAAACATTGCCCAAGTAGAGCTGGCTCCTGAAAATGCTTTTGTGCATTTGATCAAAGAAACTGACCTAGTGACTAATACTCACTATGCAGTAGGTTGCCAAAAAACAAAATTAGTTGTAGAAGATAGCCGGCTATTTTCTCCCGCAGACAGGGAAATAACAACATGTACAATCAGATACAATGAAATATATGAAGTTTATATATTTTGAACTGCGGTATTAGATACGTATGATGCACGATCCTCGCAGTAGATAGCGCTATTTAAGCAATAGCTTAAATAGCGCTATCTATTAAATAGATTTTCGCTATTGCTTAAATAGCGCTATCTACTGCGAGGATCGTGCATCATACGTAACATGTACAATGATAATAATTCATTCAATTTTATTGTTTACTTTAATTTCTTTCCTCCCCAATAAAAATACCATGTAATGAGTATGGCAAACTAACTACAACATTCTTATGAATTCCAAGCAGCATTAGTTAAGTTTAAATCTCTCTCATTCACTTTGTTGGGGCAACAACTTTTGTGTGATGGCACAAGAAGGAGTAGTGGTAAACTATGACATGACAATGCATGATGGGTAATTTTGTTGCCTAGCGACACCCGTGCAGGGGTCTGCACTCCCAGAAGTGGTCTTGTCACTGAAAGTTTTCATCAATTAACTGCCACAGACTGAAAATGCGTTCACTATTGAACAGCACAAGAGTACTCACACAACAGCCATACCCTCCTTATCATATGGCTACGCTGATCTAAAATTGTTAATTCCTAGAGGTAGTCTACGTTGGTAAGGTTTAACTGTACACACATTCTGAGTTGTCACTGAACTTGTTTTCATTGTTACCTAACCAAAGGTTAGATGAATCTCCCTTGTAGCTTTTGTTTGGAATGTCACTGAACTTGCCTAAGAAGTATCAAATGTTGTCAATAGCTTGTCACACAATCCTTCTGAGAAGTCTGGGGTTTCAATAACAGCCAGTAACCAGCTGTCTGTTGCTGCCTCTAACTCCTCTTACCACTCTCTGTTTAGCCTGCAGGCTTTTGTGTTTGGGTTTTGCCTTAGGGCTCCTTTTCCGGCATGGCTGCCTATCACACCATTGGCAGCCACTTAAAGAAAAAGTTCTTTAAACCCCTGAGAAGTATGATGTCAAAAATCTAACAAAGGTGGAGAAAGATAGCTGCATGCTTCGCTATTTATAAAGAACTTCATGTACAAATGATGTATCAACTTTGTGAAAATTGGGATAGAGTGATAGTTGTCATTTCAGTGGGTTTTTCTTCTCTACCAAACACATTTATATGGTTTAAAAAAGGAGTACCGCTATACAATACCTAATCAACTATTTTAGATATTTGTCTACCATACTTCCTCCCAAAGTTATCTGTTTTGATACACTATCAACACCAATAACATTTTTAAGAGATATGTTGGCAGATAAGATCTTCCTTTGGCAAAGCTTTTTCTCAGTATTTTATGTTACCAAAGGAAAAATATAAGTTACAGCATTTAAGTCACCATAATGATTATACAATCTCATATTTTTCCACTGAAAAGCCAACTTCTTCTGAAAACTTCACTGGTTTCTCATCATCCACAGATGTGATCTCTGTTATCTGCAAATACATAAATTTACAAAGGTTGATGGATTACTCCTGTAATGTTTCAACTAAACAAAAATAATCTTTCTTGAAGGAAAAGTCCAACAAAAGATTTCTATGAATGCAAACAATTTGTTGAAAAATGCCAGAGTCAGATTAAACATACACCAGTGTAAATCTAAGTTGGTAGATTAGGGTATGATGTCCTTCCTGTTACAGCTTAACTTATAAGAAAGGATTCAAAGCATTCCTTGTTTTCAAAGTTTGTGAGTATAAAGCAACTTTCTCAAGATTCAACTTGTGATTTATTTCAATTTAATTTCAAAAACTTTTTCTAAAAAATTTGAGGTGCCAAACTTGGGTGCCTCTTATTTGGAGTACAGCATATCTGGCAGTGTTTATGGTACATGTACACAAAGCTGATTAGCCAAAATGCAGTTGCATCGCGTGCCCGAGATTTTCAGGCCGCCATTTTGCATTTGGATCAAAAGGCCGTCGAGTGCACAAGCTGTCAAGTGGTTTTTGGTAAGTTAGAGCTTTTAAAACCCCAACAGTGACCCGAAATCTGCTGGACTAGCTTCAAAACACAGTTTTCCACAAAAGCTGCGGCCATTAATGGGTTAATATCAATCAAAACTGACATCATGTAAAATCCAATTTTGAAAGATCTAAATTTTAAAATAACCTTCCATGCCATTTTGTGAGGTAAATTTTCTTAAATCAATGTATGTGATGATGACAGTTTCTTGTTCTTTGTGACCACAGTAAGAATCTTGCACAATTATGATGGTAACTAGTTTGATGGTAATAAATGCAATATTTGAGTCAAATTACAAGCCACTTCAAATTCATCAGGGACCAGTTTCTCAACTCTGTTTCTTTTCCTCATACATTTACAAATCAAGCAATATTGTCATACTGACTTGCCTTATTACTGAGGGAAGATTTGCTTTTTATTGAGGTTGACACGCACACTTACAAATTACCATACAGCTGAACTTCACAAATACAATGCTAACTTATTTACAAAAAAAGATAACTGACTACTTACGGAACAGGAATTGAAATTACAATATCATTCAGCTCCAGATTTTCTTGGAGAAGCTCATACTCTATGTTAACATCACACTGTTCGTCATTTTCCGAAGGCCAGCAGTTGACTGCAAGAGAGATGAAACATACAATCAACTTTACAAACTGAAAGTATGGAGTCCACAGACCAAACCTGCCTCCCTCTCATATCACTGTTTCTTTAACCTCTAATAGGGACTAGCAGCTAATTTCTGTAGCCTGATGCAAATTGGAGCCCAAACATGGACCATTCAAACTGAAATCCAATGCACAATATATAAGCCCATCCAACCATGCATGTTATCATAGCTAGATGGTTTATCTTGTTCAAAAAGTACCACTACACTAATTGTAAAAAAATTACTGCTGTGCTAAAGTCTTACTTGATAATGGCATTAGTCCCTCATCTGTGCTCTGCAGTCTCCACTTTAATACACCAATGTCATTATTAAGTGGGAAAGGTTTGTTTGGTTGCTTGAGTCCTATTACTGATTCTTGATTGAATAATTTCTTGTCTATGTTTGGATGCGTCTGTAAGTCAAAACCATACTAATATTAGACGACAAAAGTAAGCTTCACCACACTAAAGAGTTTATTTCTGATGACCATTTTGTGATGTTATGCAGCTAAATGGCACCTTACAAACTATTTCAGTTGGGAGCTGCATACTGTCTTTAACTTAACCTTAATTCCCAGAGGTGATTAACATATAACCTCTCCCAATAATATCCATAAGTATCCAGCAAACAGGTAATGAGAATAATCAAACTCATCGAGTAGAAGTTATGTTGATCTAACACCAAATTCTCGTCATTGATTTACAAGTAAATGTGTAACAGCTAAATAGGAGAATTAACAATCAGATCTTGGGGGTTTAAGTGTTAACAACACATTCTCAGAACTATAAAATAAAGAAGAGTATGAAAGAGAATTTAACCATTTAACTCCTATGAGCGACCATGACAGAATTTCTCCTTACCTATCAATATGATATCAAGTAGAAAAATGATCAGAATAAAGAATAATGTAAATTAGGGGATTATCAGTTGATCCCAGACCAAATTCTCAAAAAATAATTGTATGGCAGATAGCAAAGAGAATTACTAAAGAGATCTGGAAGTGAAAGGCTCAGAGAAGTAGCAGACAAGTACCTGACAGCCACAGGGCTAACAACAGTACCTGCATTTGGAATCCTTTGTCATCATTGTTTTCAACAGTGAGTCTTATTTTCCCATACTGTGCATCAGACACTCTGAGCAGCACAAGACCTCTGACCTCCATGTTCTGTAGTCCTCCATCCCTTCCAGCTGTCAGTGTGATCTTCTCGTCAATCTTAATATGAACACTGAAATTAAAAGCAGAGGATTAAGCCTTCTAGACCAGCATGCATATTCTCCAAACTGTTCTCTAAATAAATGGTAAGACTTGCCTAACATTTCAACATGCTCATGGCCATCTAATTCAGATCTTTTGAGGACTCGTCTCAGAGAATACACCTGTTCTTTTGGTTCATAAATCCCTTGCACTTAGCTGTTGTAAACTCCCAAAATGAATCATCATTCAAATGCTCTGAACTGACTGGGTGTTGACCAAGATATTAACATTTACTACCAAAAAAGGTAAACTGCGGAGACGTGCGTAACAGTTGCCATTAGCAACAAAGGTGATCGTTTTTGGTCACGTAACTAAAAAGATGCTAGCACAAAAGGCAACATTCCTTTACATTTCTTTGCCTGCCCATTTACTGTCTGTCATTCTTTATCCACTTTTATTTAGCAATACAACATGATCCAGCTAAAAGTGTTTTAAAATATTTCTTTTCAGCTAAAATCAAATCGATTATCACACATCTTAGGCTTTTGTCTATGCTTTTACCACAGATATAAGACCTTCCTTGTTTGTTTATGGAAAAGCCCACCACTGTTTGATTCTCAGCGATGTGACATGGGCTTAATTCAAATATGTTTCTCTCTAGCAGCAACTGTTCCACGCATCTCTGAAAAACAGTCTACCTGTTTTGGTAGTAACCCAGACCTATCTGTTTAATATTATTAGAATGCTAACCTTCCTATTTGAACAGATGGTGTTGTTGGAGTCTTTCCAGTTGAAGATAATTTTGTCTTGGAAGTTACTACCTCTAAAAATTGGAAAATCAAAACACTTCAGTTGGTTCCTCCTTTCTGTGCGAGGGACTCGTGGTAAAAAAAATGCAATTTGTCTGTAACAATCATGAGAAACAAAATAACAAGTTGTACACTTCACAACCCAAGCAAGTACAACAGTCAAAACAACAGAAAGAAAGCAAAACCACTTGCAGTTTCATCACCCAATTAGGCTACAGGAAAATGTTACAAAATAGAACAAAATAAATAAATCCCAGAGAAAGCACTAATCAATCCTGAAATGCAAGGAGGTCCAAAAAGCATTGGACCAACACACATGATCCTGTTCATGGGAGTAAATTTTGCAAAACAAATGTTTATAAAACACAGCTTTGTAAACATTTCAAACTGGACTGTAAATTCTAAAAGTTAGTGCAGTAAAACAGTTATAAATTTCCTGTTTGGGGGATTTTGCAGCCATCCTCAATTACACTTGTCACAAAATATTGTTGGCTCCAGCAGGGAAACTATGACAGGTCTACAGCTTTAAAGTAAAATTAGAAAATTTAGAAGTGGTGAGTTTTGCTCTATTCTGGTTGAAACAGAATGAAGAGAGCAAAATAACCAACAAACAAATCCATGCATCCCTATCTGTCTGAGATATTTTTCAGCCCTATTCAAATTCTTTTACTTCCCCTCTTTCTTGTTTGGTTGTTGACCTCTCCTCACCTGTTCCCTCTGATCTTAGTTTGTCCACAAAACTGTCCACATCCTTTGATTTGCTCCCTAATTTCATTGCCTTTCCAGTGCCAGCCGTTCTGAAACAAAACAAAGAGAACACCCACCAGTTATCAACACCTCAATACTTCCCAAAAACTCTCATGTGGTGAATTACTGGCCTTAAAAAACCACACAAACATACACACACAATCTAAACAAAACAAACAAAGAGAGCAGTTGTACAAAACACTGTAAATCACCTTGTGGGATAAGATGGTTTAGGAGGTGTGGGATCAATAACTGTGACATCATTAGCCACTGGGATACTTGAATCACGACCTCCTCCACCAAAACCTCCAAATCCAGCTAACTGTCCCTTGCCACCCTTGCCACGAGCAGCAGCTGTTCTTGCTGCTTGTAATTCCTTGGCTTTCTTTTTCATCTCTTCTTTAGCTTCACGTTCTTGTGTCTGAGCAATATTTTGATACAGAACAAATTATTACAGGCTACAGAGAGTTGGGAATAAACTGCTGTTGAGGTGCCACTAAAAACATGCCCTCCTCAAAGCAGGATATACCAATAGTGGGAAAGCTCAATGACACAAACAGCTCCCCCATCTCTCCATTTCAAGGTTGTCAGTTCAAGTTTACATTAGTGCCTGTTAACTAAACACAACAAAGGCAAAAGGAAAAGACTATATCTTATGCTGAGTTTCTCAATAACAGTTGATAGAACTGATTTTACAAACTTACCTGCCTTACAGCACGGAACACCTTCTCTTCGTGACTGTCCATCTCTGTGAATGTTCTGATTTGTGCAAGATTAACATTTTCACGATAGCCAAGGGCAACAATCTCATCAAAGGCAAAGATTAGCGAAAATGCATTTTCCACAATCTCAGATTCCTCCATTGCTTTGCAGTATTCTGGAATCTAAAGACAAACAGAAGTTTCTAAAAACACAAACATTTGAATGCCAGTTGGAGGTATATTTTGATGACTACCTATACTGAACTAATTAGACTGTCAGTTCTATCCCAAAACTCCTTTCAACAAATATTACCAGTGAGTAGGAAAGCCTTCCAAGCAACCAATTCTCTTCTTTCAATTTGAAAGTTATTTCATTAACCATCCAATTTTAAAAACAGCTTGGAAAAAAATACTTCTGCTCTTAATTATGCAGATGACTTCAGCTAAAATTGTTGCAAAATCAGTTGCTGCTAATGACAACGGTGCTTGAAGGACTATAACCTAGTGGCTTGTATAATTATGCCTTTTATATTATTAGATTTATTGTATTATATTTTATTATTTTATGTTTTGTAGACAGCTCTGTAATTCAGTCATTTTGTGTATTGCTGCAATGAGTCTTAATAAACAGTCTCACTCTCTTTAACCCAAACCCCACACCCCTGTCTTCTTTCTGATACTAGAAAAAAAATCAATGCAAAGTGAAATAGCAAACATTTCTATGCCATTGCATACCACTCTGGAGAAGAGTCGTAATGTTTCCAAGTCTTCCAAGATGTTACTAGCTTTAGTCGTAATAAGGAGCATGTAGAGTTTCTCTAGGGGCTGGTAGACATATCTGACGCTCTCGGTTTCAACGAATGTGTGTTGCTTTCCAGTATTCATCAATTTGGGAAATGCAGCAAGAAGGCCTTCCACACGGGATCTTGTCATCTCCACAAACTGACGTGATACAATGGCTGTAAGAGCAATAACAATATTTGTTTGTGTAATGGTTTCATATGTAGTATTGCTGAGTATTGTTTGCTGTTGTAATGTATTTTAATGGGCCTAGAGGAACAGCAGAAATACAATCTCAACTTTGAAACTGCATTACATAAACACTTCACACCCTAAGTTCAGTATGAATATTCTCCATACTGTTCCCTATACATTTCCTACGGTGCTGACAAGGAGAATTTATTTAACAATCAAAAAGTTCTCAAATTAGTGATCGTATTCCTTATTCTCATGACCCTAATGTTTGATTCAGGGGCGGCAATGTAAGGAGAAGTAAGATACTGGTCACTATTAAGGATAAAAGGGTTAAGAGGGAATGTTGTTTTATTGCCTTGATGAATATCTTGGAATTTGGTTCCATGATAAGTAGACTAATGCTATGCAGAAAAAAAATATTCACAGTGTCAGATAATAAATTTAAATACACTTTCAATTCTGAAAGTATAGGTTATATTACATGTTGGTAATTGTACTTTGATAACAATGATATTTAGTTTGAGCTACAATAAAGGCAAACAGCAAGGCCCTAACAAATTATCTCTTAACATGAAACAAATGCATATTTGGATCATCGTACCTTTCCCTGTTTTCGTACATATTGCTGCAGCGAGTAGAACCTGTAAAGAAAAATATTGAACGCAGGAAAAGTCTGAGCGTTTGATTTCGTGAAACAAAATCGGGAAGACACGGAAGCCTTGATCTTTAAATTATCATTATTAAACTTTTATTCAGTGATGATTCACTACTCTTCGTCACCCTGTGACGCGACGATAGAGGTGACTATTTCTACTCCATAAACAACTTAGAAACAAAATAGAAGTATTTCCTCAATTCTATCGAATCACCGATTGACATTACAGTTTTAAAATTGCCTGACATGTGAGTAAAATACCTTCAAATGGTATCATACCAGATGCTTTCTTCTACAGTTAACTATGAAATCATCCCATTTTCACGCTTAGAAAGCCCTTAGTCCCAAAGAACGATAAATAAACTTACCATTTTGACTATCAAATCTTATTTTACAGTGAATCAGGCCTCTCAGAGGCCAAAAATACAGCTATTTTGGAGGTTTATTCGCTCGCCACGTCCGCAGAAGATCCGCAGAGAATGGCCTCAGAGAATTCTGGGAGGACCGGTGACGCGCATGTACAAACTTCAAAGAGATTAGTATTCAGTCTTTCTCGGCTTCCATCTAGATTGAGGCGAAGCTGCATGTCGTCGCTGTATATGGTTGGAAATTATATGGAGACAATCATGAATCTTCAAATTGTCTTCATTGAAGGCCTCAAAACAATGGTTTGATGGCGTGGGCTTGCATTACAGGCTTTGGCTAGAGAATCTAAACCATCTTAGCCAACGTTGTATTCTAACTTATAACAAACCATGATAAAATTGTTTTCAATTTTCAAAGAAATATTTTTAATTTAGTCAACATTTTGCGTGAGCTATCCGGTAGATTTGGTTTCAAATGTTATGATTGACTAGTAACAGCTTTCAACTCAAAATGTATTCGCGGTTTCAGATGAAGTTTTTGAAAGTACATTGAAAAAATTACTTTTTCGAATTGTTTTCAATCACCAAAACAACAAAGATAATAGTAATAAAAAGAAGATTTATCACCATGCGACAGGATGTCGAAAAATATTCCTTAAACGAAAGAATAATTTTGAAACAAAGATTACTCCTGAGCTGGGACAGACACAAACAAAACAAGCCGTCTCAACGTTTCTCTCTTTATCAAACGTAAATCTTCATGCTGATTACTGTTCATGAAAGGAAACTCTGCTTGATTCAACCATATTGTGAATTATTTATGTAGAGTGACGCTCTTGTTTTGTTCACGGTAATTATCTTCGATATATATTGACGCAACTTTTAGTTCGAGACGGTCAAAGCAACTCGAAATGTTCCGGTTAAATTTTCAGGCATATCTCTGTCATCTGCAAAGGTGAGTAAAATTATTACCTTCTCGATTATCGGTATATTTATTCATTTCACAGAAATAAAAGAAGGTAAACTTTACTTCAGTTTAAGTGCTCTTAACAATACTTCACGTCTCAACCAACAAAGTTTCTGATTTCGCCCGTTTGTTTATATTTTAAAAGGCCGTATGTACTCGACGATTTCGTTAATATACTCTTTTCAAAATGGTTAAAAAAACTGCCAAAGCTCGTATATCTACCACAACAACAGCAGGGTCCTTAGCTTTAAATCTGATAAATAAACCAATGCTTCATTTACACGTAGTCTATTGTAAGATGGCAGAAGGTATAACTCTAGTTCCTCGTTGAACTACTTGCTTTGTCGGATTAAATTTCCCTGTGTTTACGACAGGAAAGACCTACGCACAATTTCAGGGATGTTTTTATCAATCAGCTAACGCAAGACGAATATTTATCGTAAATTTAAACTGTATGTACAGCGTTTCCGCCTAATAGCTGAGTCTGAGTATTTTTGTTTTGAAATCATTGATGAAGTTAGTCATGCATCATTTTGAACAATGTCGAGGTTTTTCAAGGGAATATCTGCTGTATTTGTTCAACTTAAGTGTCACTGAGGAGTGATCACGTAGATCAAGAAGGCCAAGCGGTTGAAATTGACGTCCGCACTGGCAAAATAACAGGACGACCAAACTTGGTCTTATCTTCAAAAGATAGCTTTTAAGTGCCAACAAGGCCGTTCATTCGGTAAAGAAGTACACTCTGATATAAAATCAGAATCTTTATGTACTAAAAAATATCTTGTGAAAGATAGCTTTCGTAGTTCTTAAGTTTCGATTTGTTTTGTTACACAGTAAGCGCCGTAAAAATTATGACCAAGGTTTTGCGGTATTATAATTCAAGATTGACTATCTTTTTCCTTTTCAAGAAGATAAAAATCTACGTTAAGAAGGATTTCAGAATGTTTACACCACTATTTACCCAGCCGTAGATATTTGAAAAATTGCATGAAACTGATTATGATAAATTAGCGCACGTCTCGGCCGATGAAATTTGAACATCTATTATCATTCTGCAATAAAAGATACAATCCGAAACACATTTTTAATCGGCAAAAACTAAATTATGGTGAGGTCAAAAAATTGTCGCTTCTTTCTCGTCAAGACTTTGTTCACATCCACGTAAATTTACGACGCATTCGACCAATTAGGACCATTCATCGAGCCAGCTATTGATTCTCTCTTAGAGAAGAGTCTAAAGGGGAAAATCTTCTGCTTAAAATACATCCTACGTGGGACGAGACGTCAATCTTCTATGGATAGAAAATTGTTCAGAAATTAAACCAGAAATAACAAAGTCATCAAATTATAATCAAGCTCTTGTGTAGGTCCTATCTCTGGAGCGGATCCAGGATTTAGTCAAGGGGGGTTCGGAGAATTGTCCCCCTTCTGAAGGGTCCGAGATTTTGAAAATTAGGTCTTCGGAAACATTATCCCCAGCGTTCTGAGAGAAAATTTAGGGGGTTCGATCGAACCACCCTAAACACCCCTGTATCAGCCCCAGCTATCTAAATATAGGCGGGACTGAGAGAAAACGCTTGCATATGTTACGTCGGTAACAAAGATTTGTCACGGTTGTCTTATAAAGCAGCTGAAGTATGAGGAGGGCCTGGGTGTAAATATTCAACGAGCTCTTCATCGAGGCCCTTTGTTCCGTCAAATCACAGGAATCAGCACTACTGATCGATGCCGGACTGTTTGCATCTTTGGATTGAGAGGAAATAAATAGGAAAGTCGGAAAGCTGGATAAATCGTAGGTTTTTTTCGATTAATATTGGTATAAAACGACTCTCGTGAATAAATTTCATACGTCTGAATACAAATAATCAAACGGTCACAATGTTCATGTGGGATCCCTGTGGTCACACAAGGCAGTTACTGAGTGCATTTTGGCAGGGGAAAGTGGAATGACTGGCTGAATCATATAAAGAGTGAAATACTAGTCAGGTAAGGATTAATTGTATGCACCAGAAATCTGTTTGCATACGCAACTCAGAACAGAAAATCAAAGCGAAATTTTGCAATATTAAAGAAGTTCACAAAAAACGCGATGAAATTTTCTGCTTCCGAAATTCCTCCGTTCCTATCCAAATGTTAGGCATGAAATTTAAGAAATTAGGTTGCCTTGCTAAATATTGAAGGCAGAAAATAAAAACCAGCACTCAGTTTGCTGCTCCAAAACAAAAAAAACGCACACGAATTAATTCATATGCAAATGATTTTCGGGAACTTTAGCCAGAGGGGCCGGCCAGGGAAATAATTTAAATAAGCAACTGGCGAGTTGATGTTTTACGGTGATACTCAGTCCTAGACGGACAGTGTATCAGAATAAATCGTGTCCCAAGTTTAAGTGGAATGAATCGTTGAGTACCCATGGTAAGTAAAGCTATCCAACTTTTGCCTATATTTTTGTGGCTGGTGACTACTGCTGATTATTTGTCGACGACATACATTAGTGGAAGTGATGCACGTAACGTACGTACGATATTTATAAAATAAATCAACGGAATCAGTTCGCGAATGAATATTTTAACGCTTGCTTGGACTCAGTATTTGCGCAAACTTTACTGAATGAAGGAAAAAATTCACCTTAAATTTGAATAGATCTTATGTTGCGAAATGTTTTAAAACGCTCGGGTCTTTTCGATTAAGCATATCTTTAGAGAGAGATTCTTATATTTAGACAATATAAGAATCACTAGTACAAAAGGCAAAGGATGTTTGTATTTTAGATTTTGCTCCTGTCTAGCTGAGCTTAAACTAGAAGCGAAAAAAGGAAAAAAAAAACAGTTATTAATTTGAAAAAAAGAAATTTTAAAATGACACTGAAATGTATAAGTTTGCATCCGATTAGACAGACCATCATGCACGATTCTTTTAACTGACATATGGAATAATGAGTTTCAAACTCGGCAGAGCTTGTTGTCAGTACAAAACTCAAAATTTCACGTTGCCAAATAGAAAACTTGAAAAAATAAAACTGTAATAGAAAATAATGGGTTGAGTGCCCGCCAACATAATGACATTTCGGATAACAGTGTACATGTGATATTTAGCGGGTAAATATTTTAGTTTCCAACTATGGCTAAACACGCAAATTTACGAATTATGAAAATATCTTTAAATTTAGCTTTAACGGATTCGAGGTTTCAGAGATGTTTCAGAAGCCGTAGACTTTTTGAATGAAATATTTTTTCGGAGAAAGAGCTAGACAATATTCAAATCCAATGGAGCATTTTAATGTTTTTTCTTTCTCAACAAGATATATTGGTTCACATTTAAAGTGTTTCCCGGCAAAAAATGCGCAATACAGAAAGTGATTTTGTTCTCGTATGAGAAAGTATTTTCAAAAGCGATGTCAGACGTGGTTCGGTTTCATGGAAACAGGCATTAAACTAGCCAAAGCTTTTCACGCAAATATCACTATTTTACGGTTCATTTTGATGGAAATAAAACTGTAACATGAAACAATGGTTGAAACTTCGGTCAACATAATGGCGCATCCGGTGAACAAATGCGAGTGGATTTTCTCATTGATAATAAAACCAAGGTCACCGGCGAAAAGCCAGCATAGTTTGTTCAAAATCCTGCCGCGTATGTTAATTTGCTTACGACTAGTTTTTAAAACATAACTTGTTGAATAAATTAAAGTCTTTCAAGGCTCATTATATCATTCTAAGAATAATTTATGCCGAGTATTTGACAATATATTGTACATACAGCGGGGTGCAGTATTATTAACAGTAATTTTCTCTCATTGTTTCATAATTTAAAAAAAAAATATGTTTTTTCCTCCTTTTATTTGAGCTGAGAGACTAAAATGTACGCAGAGATATTGTCGCTGCGAATAAACTTTAATTAAATGACTACAGTGGAATCGAACCTGCAGGTGAGACGCAAATTGGTTCGAGAAATTGGGAGTTCAAGAAATCGGGGGTGAAATTACAAGTGAAGCAAATCCAAGGGAGACAAAGTCTGGTTCGAGATATCGGGAGGTTCGAGAAACCGAGGGTTCGAGAAATAGGGATTCCACTGTATTAGGAATTCATTATTGGAAACTGAAGCATTTTGTTCGTTTCTCGGGTAGTCTCAGCTTGAAATGCCTGTTTTGCATTTCCCTTTGGCGATATACGATGGCACGCGATCGACTTGCTAGAAATTTATTCAACTACCTACTGCTTTAATTCTATCACTTTACCACTCAGTAAACAATTACATTTTGAAAGCTTACAAACTATTAGCAAGATTAAATGTTTATTGTTCGCGAAGGCCTCACTCCCAGACATATTTGACGGAGACACTTATTGCACCCCCTCCATTTTCTGCCACTCCCAATGATTTCCTGCAAGATGGCATAGAAACACTTTAGATGTAGAAAGTGGAGGTAGAAATCGCTTCTACAAAACGTAAATCGTTAGTGCTAGCATCGATTGGTTATTGGTTCTACCACGAATTGTAATTATAATAATAATAATAATAATAATAATAATAATTAAATATTTATACTGCGCAAATTGACATGTGGGTATGATCAAATGCGCATCACAACACTTTTCGGGGAGCTTTGGCCGGACTGCATCAGCAGTTTACAAACAATCGAAGGAAACTTATTTGAAGAGGCCCCCTCCCCCCCAATTCCCAGTAAACAGGCCAGACCACATCACAGTAATCTCGTGAGTGGGTTCTTTAACNTGTTTTTTCCTCCTTTTATTTGAGCTGAGAGACTAAAATGTACGCAGAGATATTGTCGCTGCGAATAAACTTTAATTAAATGACTACAGTGGAATCGAACCTGCAGGTGAGACGCAAATTGGTTCGAGAAATTGGGAGTTCAAGAAATCGGGGGTGAAATTACAAGTGAAGCAAATCCAAGGGAGACAAAGTCTGGTTCGAGATATCGGGAGGTTCGAGAAACCGAGGGTTCGAGAAATAGGGATTCCACTGTATTAGGAATTCATTATTGGAAACTGAAGCATTTTGTTCGTTTCTCGGGTAGTCTCAGCTTGAAATACCTGTTTTGGCACGCTATCGACTTGCTAGAAATTTATTCAACTACCTACTGCTTTAATTCTATCACTTTACCACCCAGTAAACAATTACATTTTGAAAGCTTACAAACTAGTATCTACCCCTCCATACGGAAGCCGATAAGGGACAATCCCAAATTGATTTTGAAAGCATTTGGATCGCATGCGCACTTACCATTCCTATCAAGTCCCATTTACCATAAACGATCGGTAGCAACACTAGCGATTGACGTTGTTTGATAACACAAACGATTGCTGTATTTATAAGACTACGATATTTAGCGCTATCAGGCGTTTGGTGCAACAGCACAAGCGATTAAGGTTCAGCACTAACGACTGGCTATTTTAGAACGGCAACTAAATTAAGTTACAATTATGATTTGTTGCTTGCATTAACGACTGAGTTTTATTACTAGCGATTCATATATTTGGCACAAACGGCTCCCCTGGGGGAGGGGGGGTGGCGAAAGAACATTTTAAGCGCATTCTGGAGAAGAACCACCACGACTAATTATGTCTGGGAGTGTAGAAGCAGTTGCTCTTGAGGGTACGAAGACGCAAGTTGGGTGACTGCAAGTAAAACTTACTGTAAACCAAACTACTCTCGAATATAATACTGTGGGATGGGATCATGGAATTTAGGTGGGACCCACTGAGTTATCTTCATCACAGATAGGATGAGGAAACATTTATGTAAAAAATAATTAAATTAAATCGTGAATTAATATTGCGCAGTTTCCATGACGGGATGATCAACTGCGCATGTTATAGAGTAGACTCATTGGTAAAATGTGTTGACTAACCCCTGATACTGTCGCCTTAGCTAAGAACCGTTCTTTGAAATGCCATCAGTAACTTGCGAGAAATCCCGCAGAAAAGTTGTGCAGACTATGTAATAGTATCCATGTGCATGTTAACTTGAGGACATGAGCACCCATCACAGTTGGCAATTACGATAATAGACAACAAAGTTGACTGATTTTGTCAGGAGGCCTTAAAGGTGGTCGGGATATGATCAAGTTCGAGACAAGCTTTTCGTAAACATTCGCTCAAAGGGATACGAACCCAAACAATATGTCACACGCATAAGAGAATTGAAGTGGAGCAGGTTCAGTGCGAGATAGCTAGCCCCCCACCCCACCCCATCCCCCGGCCGCGGGATAGCTAGCCCCCTCCCACCTCACCCCCTGACCTCTCCCCTCCTTTTCTCTTCACCCAAGCCTCGAAAATGAGGTATAAAAAGTTGCAGGGACAACCAAAGAAAACTGTCCGGGGTCACTGTACTTGACATCAATTAATGCCATTGTAGTATTTTAGTTGAAATATCAGGTACACAAGTGTAGACGCAATGACAATTCATCTTATTCAATTAGTCCACACTAAACATAACAAGGGCGGAAACAAGAAACATCAACAAACAGTCCTTTATCGAACTTAGCGCAGGCTAAATGTTATCACCAAAAAACACAACTGAGCAGCTTTCGTCTTAGCGTGCGATATGACGCGGTATCACCTGGTGCATTCATACCATTGCGCAGGTTCCCAAATTGGCACCTGTTATCTCTCGACAGGGGCAGCTGATAAGTAGTGATAACACCCGGTGATAAATACACCGAATTTTTAATGGCAATTGGAAGGTCTTCTGTCACGTTTTTACGTATCGTGAAATAACGAAAATCGTAGCCGATCAATAACCAGTTTACTTATCTTAAGATGTGGGTTGGGCGGTGCAGATACGATGCAAAGTGACTGATCGAAGGACTGAGGGATAACTTAGCCAAGCCGAATTCAAATGCTTTCACCTCGCGTAACGATTTCAAAGGGTGAGTTTGTCTCCACTTTCTCAAAAGCAACGCTAATAACTCTACCCGCACTGAAGTTGACTAAATTTTTTTTTTTGCAATATATGATATGCACGATGCAGTCACCCTGTCAGATCTTTAATCGCGAATTTTCCTTTGATTAGCCGCCCACGGAAATTGCAATCGATTGATCGAATTTATTTCGGCGTTGATGCGTCTATCAAAGTTTGGCATCTGTTACTTAGCGGGAATTCTGTTACTTATGCCGGGTCCTTTAGAAATTCATTCAGATGCATCATCTCTTCTGCCTTGTAAGGAGAGGCTTCAGTCGTCAACATCGTTAAAACAATGGCGGTAATGAAGGAGAATAGACGAAAAATCGAAGTTGTTTTTATTTGATTTAATGAAGCGTTGACACATTTGACATGAGGGTATAAATAAATTCATAATCATGTACCATGGAATTATTGTTGAACGTTGAAGCGAGATCTTAATTGCCACAATTTCGGCATAATTACAGAGCCAAAATCTAATCCAATGTGACTGAAAAAGCAATATGTTAGCGAGTCTGACAGACTCATTCATTTTCATCAGTCCTTTCTCAAACAAAAAAGATGGAATTGAATTCCATCTTTTTGTCCCTAGGCATTTGCTTAGTTCATGACTCGTCCTCGGAATTTTTTAATAGAAGACGTTAATTCCTATAATTGAATGAATGATGATGTAACTGATAAAGTTGCTATCGCATGGGCACTACAGAAAGTAAAAAAAAAAGTCCTACTCCAGCAGCCAATCATGAACAAGGATGAATATTCCATTTTGTGGCGATCTTTATATTCAAATAATGTATCAAGTATTTCTCTCTCTCTCTCCTCTTCTTCCCCCCAGCTTCTCTCTCTTTTTAAGAAAAATTTCATTTACGAGTTCAGCTGGCACGTCATTTACTTTCTGTTCAGATTTCCCGTGCTAGACCTCACCAACCAAATTTCAGTTCAACGAAGGAATGTTTTGTACCTGACAGTGATTCTATCATAATATAGCCATTAACTTGGGTGGTACTCTCAAACGATCACTTTCAGTTGCTAAGAAGATTAAAATGGTTGGGCGGGGTTTCCTCGTAACCTTTTATGGAAGTATGTAGATAGTAATCATGTCATTGGAGTTATCTATGTGGAAAAGATCTCATAAGCGATTTGAAAAGAAAAATCCGCAAAGAAATTGCAGCAAGTTTTCTCCAAAGCACACAAGAGTGTTTCCAGCATGACAAAGTGACTTGCCGCTATTCGAATTGTTGAGTGATTTAACATGAAATGAGTACAGTTCGGATCCGGTTGAAAATGAAAGTATCGCATTTCAAGCCTAAATTTAGACGATCTAGGATATGGGCCAACTCATCATGAACAAAATATAAAAGCAATATTAAACTTGGCGTTGTGGGCACGTCCGAAAGTAGGCATAAGATCAGTCAACCTTTCAAAAAGGAGTTCATTTACCAAGAACACATTATTTGTTATTTCTTCGTCCTTATTTTGACGTAGGTTGAGTTTGTTATTTTTCCGGCAAAAGGTGTCTATCTTGCGAGGCATTTTTGAGAGTTCGCAGCTTGCGGGGCGAAGCGAGACAAGATTTCCAAGGGTACGTCATTCAATGTGCAATATTATTATGCAGACGTCATAACTAGTGGGCCACGCGTTCTGACACCTTTGCGAACTGTCGAACGTTTTACCTTCAAGATATTGCCATAACGTAACGTGAATCGTCTTGAAATATTCTACTATTTATTTGCCCACTAGGGGTAAAAGATGACTGAGATCCTGTTCAAAACATTGGTAGCGCTGGTTCAGTTGATTTCGCTGCACTGGACATCCATTTGTGGTAAGTTTTAAGGATGTTTTTGTTACAAATTTTTAAAAATATTGACAAATGCTTCGCGAGATTGTTTCGCTGTGGTTATGTCTATTTTTCTCATGGTTTGCAAGCTTAAAGCTACCTCGATTTGCCAAGGTTGAATAATGGAATTAAACGCGTTTGAAATTAGTTCGAGTCAATTTGTATCTCTTGTACTGATTAAATACACAGAGTAATACAAGACTTGATCGCTTGAGGGAAATGGTTGTCATTTTGTTTCAAGAAACTGATTAAAAATACCTTCGCTCACAACAAGTTCAGTCAGATTATTTTGGCATATGATCTTCACCGGTAGATTCGAACTAAAGGAAGCAATTCATCAAAGAATAGGCCGGAACAAAGTATGTCACGCAATAATTGTTACTTTATCTACGCCTATACAATGGTCGACCCTTGTTCCTAAAACTACAATAAATCCGTCTTTTTTGCTCGCAACTTAGTCCGTTGCGTAAGTCTTAACATATGACTGAAGAGTATAACTAAGCTCCAGGCGAGGTGTGAGGAAGTGAGGTTTGGTGAATTTCTTCACAATCGCGCGTGAAGTTGCGAAAGAGGGGCTGACAGTCTAACCACAACACAAGATCTAAGATCCGCGTCAGAAAACACTTCCGTTCCTAGGAAAGAGCTCTTGTCACATGAAACGTAGGTACACATCTTGATATGTGCGTCGCTCGTGTACATCACGTATGAGATGGAGCAAAGGTCACTGGAACGTGGGAGAACCAGCTCTGACAAGCGTCGTGCTCGCGCTTGTTCGCTATTTTGTATGAGCACAAAAAGCAGCGACAAAAGGCTGGCCCTAGTTTTCATCACAAACTGCAATCTGCAGCCCAATAGACCTCACCGCTGAAAACACTTGCAACAGCTCGTCTGTCGATTACATCAGAGATGTCGTGCGAATGTATGGCATTGCAACCGTAGAATACAGAAAAACAGCGCAGTTTATCTTTGTCACTTAACATGCGATAAAGTGCTTCCAAGGCGGGTCCTCATTGCTGAGGTTGCATTAAGAGCCTCGCTCTAGAAGATAAGCTCGAAGCCCGAAATTCGAGGCATTCTTGAAACACCCACAGTCTTCGTGGCTAGAGAACTAAATGCCGCTATAAATACAACCATTTTACTCTGATTTTTTTCTCCAATATTTGAAACCCTGTGAACAGATTTAATTAGGATTACAAAGTGCTTTTTCAGACCTCATACACCAAAAAAGGTTAATGTTTCTTGAAATTATATTTTTTTTTGTCTTCAGATGGTACTGTCTATGTTCCCAAAAGGAGTTTTTCTGTACCTGAGGGCAGCAAATTAAGTATAAATTGCTCCGCGAAACACGAGGCACTCACGGGTTGGTTCACATCGAGCGGACAAAAGATAACCAATGATCCGTCAGTAAGAGTCTACGTAATATCAAATGGAAGTTTGAAATACTTAGTGATCCCTAGCGTCAACAAGGCAGACCGAGGGACCTACGAATGTAGAGGGACCAAGAACAAGACGCAAATACGGCTGGATGTCGAATGTGAGTACGTGGTACCTTTGCGCTCTGTGATTGCTCTTCGACCTCGTTCCTAGGGAAAAGCGCCTTGGTAACGAGGTTGATTGGTGTTTGGTTATGATCTATAGGGGTCAGTCAGCTTACGAGCCAATATTTTAAAAGCTTATCCTAACGGAGCTCATCCCGTTTCCGTTGTATGGAGCGGGAGACTTACCCCTCCTCTGGACAATATGCCAGTCTATGGCAGGATTCCCTCCCCTTCCCGACCCTTCCACCCAAGTGTTAAGTTAGGTTTCCCAAACGATTTACAAGTATCATGCTCTCGCATGTTCGGAAAATGAGCCCCCGCTCCTCCATATAAAAGGTCAGTATTCCCTTGACAAGGCTGAATAATGAAATGTCACGTCAGAGGTATGCTGTCAACATCGCGGGCTTAAGTGTTCTTGGTCTAAAATTTAGCGAAATTAGCGGAAAACAATAAGGGGCTGACATTTAAAGCCGAGGAATTATGTTTTCGTTAAAGGCATTTTCCTATTTCTAGAGTTTTTAAGAAGAAAATTAATTTTCGAAAATTTTTAGGGGGTACAAATTTTTTGGAGGTTGTTCTGTAAAAGAAAAGCGGCGAGGAAAACGACGCCTCGAAGCAAAAGAATAAGGAATCAACCATGCGAACGACCCAAAATCTGTGTTTCCGCGGTAAAACCCAGCGCATGCGCATACGTTATTCAGCTATGTCTTTTCCCTTACAATCTACTGGTACCCATTTTCGGAAAATGAGCCCTCGCTGCTCCACCGAAGACCAGGCCTGACCCGAGAGGATGGCGGAAATCGGCAATACTATGTTTTTCATCGTGGGACATGAGCAAGCGTTACGAAAGGTTGATTACGGTAAAAGAGCGAAAAGAGGAAAGCAGGTGTACCTCAAATGGAGAAGAAAAAAAGGGGGGGGGGGGGTAGAAAAGTCATTAAATTCTTTCTCCGCACAAATTTACAGCGGCCCGACAGAAGTGTCGCAAAACGCAGGTGAACAATTCTGACTGATTGAGAGAGTATGGGGCGTGTTTGCTAGATTAATCACAGGATGTTTAAGTTCATGAGGAAGACTGGTGAGAATAATTCTGAATCCAATTTTTCTTTTTTTTTTCTCTTGTAGATAGCCCCGTTTTCGTCAAGGAAAGCTCCACACACGAAACAATATTTTCATCTTTACAAAGCAACGAGGAAATAACATTAAAATGTAAATTTGATGGATTTCCACTTCCCGAAATAAAATTCCACTTCGCCGGTGTTGAACTAAATAGCAGTGACAGTAGACCCGGGTTTGTTTCACACAAGTTTCGCGTTACAAGACAGAGCGATTTCGGATTTTACAGCTGCGTGGCTAAAAACAAGATGGGTACAAAAACACATTACATTGAGGTTTACGAAAGAGGTAAGTTTAAATTCAAAACTCGATTGATTAAGATTTATTCGGTTACGCAAACGGGAACCGAGCCGTTAGTTTTGACATCAAAGGAATCACTGAGCAGTTTAAAAGGAATTTAACTTTAACTTTTCAAACCATTGTTTAAAAAGTAGAGTGTTTTGGAAAAACATTCTTTAAAGGGTTCATAGACATATGAAAACGAAGGCTCTTGAAGATGTTAACGAAAAAGGCGTCACGTACTGTCGCTTCCATCTGCATTTTGAGGTTTTTCAGTGCGGACAGTAGACAAAAAACGCATCAAAAAGTATTTGTTTTCAATTAATATATTTTGCTTCATTTTGCTTAGATGGAAAGTTACATTGAAAACGCGTAAATGTTAATTGGGGCCCAACTGGCTATCTTCTCGTTCCAGGTCCTCCCGAACCTCCAAATAATGTGCAGGCTTCATCGACGTGTGACAGTGTAAATGTCACGTGGGAGGCGTCACGCAAGGATGGTGGAAGCCCCGTGACAAGCTACACTGTCGAACTTTTGAGTGAAGGGGAATCAGTTGCATCGGAATCTTTAACGAACTCAAGTCGCTTCAAGACCTTTACGGATCTGAAAAACAATACTGAATACGAGGTTCGATTGTATTCTAACAACGCGCTTGGCGGCGGAGAGTGGAGAAGTATTTCTCTTAATACCACTGTTGCATGTAAGGAAAATAGTCAACCTCGTTCCCAGGGCCTTTTCCCTTAGATTAAGGATCGGTCATTGTTTATTGCCTGGGGGATGGGGTTCGGAGGATTTTGGTTGTGTTAAGGTAAAATTCACCTGATTCCCCTTAAAGCTCTGCAATATTCCTTTGATTCCCCTCCCCCTCCCCCTCCCCTTATTTGCAGTCGATTTTCTACAGTCCTCCTTTGTACCCTTTTGGCGACGACTGATCCTCCCTCAGTTTCCCTGAAAACCATGTGATTCCCCCCAAAAAAAAATTATCCGCCTCCTCCCTCCTTCTAGGTGATGATTATGACTGACTGTGAAAAAGTCGGCCATCAGATGTGTCTTTAACTCTCGATGCACTGATTTATCACTTTGTTTATGTTTATTCTGACTGGTATTTGAAATTGCCTCCGTCCCAGGAAGCTAAGTTTAGTGAGACTGTGCACATTTTCGAGCAAACCTCGCCACTTACTGAGACGAATATAGTTTACTTAATGAGCAGAGCTCAGGGCTAGTTAACCTGTGAAATAAGTTCTCTTGACTGGTATTGGTGACTCTTATGACTGGAAAAATGCCTGAAATGACCGACTTAAGTTATGGCTGAAATAAAATGCAGAGTACTGCTCTCCGTTGATTGGTTCGGACGACATTCTCCTTCGCGTTTTTTGACATCCCAAGAACGGCTGCGAAAGAGACTTACTGGAACACGAAGGGAAACAAAAATTTTGAACAGGAACCTGCAATTATCACCATAAGCGAACTGTTAAAAACTTCATCTTACCTCTTTCGCTTTTCTCCTCTTAGGTCCTGAAAAACGTGGATCTTCAGCCACCAATTTAAAAGTTTTTACTTCGATTCTCTCACTGCTGTTAGTGTTCGTTCACTTGGTGCTTTGACGATGGATTATGAACGTTGGTGCTGTGGCCATGGTCAGGGATACAAAATGACGCCCTAAACACGCGTAAAATTAAATATTTTCAAGACCGCTGGAAAATTATCAGAGTGAACGTCAACAAGATTCTTCTTCGTTGTTTGTGCTGTGCATATTTTGAGATCCAGGATGAATAATAACCCAAACATGGCGAGAAAGTAATTTACCAAGCGTAGGAATCTTTAAGTTTGGCTGGCACTGGATTAAATCTCTGTAAATAGAGAGGTTTTAGTGGAAAGACAGCAGAAAGACAACAATTTAATTTATATCAACTTCCCTTAGTCCTTTAAAAGTAAGGTTTATATTTTCCAGTATATAACCTATCCCAGAGTGATGAATGGACGATAAGAACAGTGAGAAAATTGGACATGAGTGCCTTAGGGCGCGTGTTGGAAAGAGAGGGGGGGGGAGGGAATTCAGGGGAAAACACGTCCTTTCTTAGCGCCACTGTTACAGCCATTGAAAAGTCACAATTATTTAACTCGAACTGCCTTCTCTCCTCTGCAGAGGTTCTCAAACTCCGAAATTAGTGGTGAAACTACATGCGCGCGATAGCGCGGGGTGTTTACGCGTTCGCGAGTAGTGGCCGCTTTCAGCGACTCTCTCGCGACAACAAAACGAACACGAGGATAACGACGGACTCCCATTTTTGGAATTAGGAAGAGGGGAATTAGTTATCTGTAAAATTTTCCTCACATATCTTTGTGTTAAAGTGTTAGTTTAGATCGAAGAATACTTCAAGGAACAAACTGTTCGTGGAAACTCTGTCACTCATTGAAGTTGTTTTAGCGTTTTGCTGTCACAAGAAAGGAACTTCTCTTACCTTGATAAACTACTCTTGTTATTTTGCCAAAGGGAAGCAAATAGATAAATAAATATGTGATAACAAATTGAATTAAAAGAAGAAAAAACTATTTCTGGTTACGCTCGCTAAAGTGAACCGAGGGCAGTGCAACATGGAAATTAACCATACTCAATGCTTTTCTTACATTCCATTGTTCTCTTGGATACTTTTTTATACAATTCATCCTTGTTATACGCGATGATTTTTTTACAGTTGTACAATAAAATAGTAATAATAATAATGATAGTAGTTCATTTGTATAGCGTACACATCCGCTACTTGTTCGAGGCGCTTTACAAAATTAACCTTAAAACCATAAAATTTACTCTAAAAAACTTAGAAAATAAAAAATTAGCAATATACCTAGAAACCAGAGGCTAAAAATTAAAAATATGATAGAGAGTTACTCTTAATAAATTTAGTATAAAGGAAGGTTTTGAGTTATTTCTTAAACGACAAAACTGTATTGGATTGTTTTATTTCCAACGGAATAGTGTTCCAAATTTTCGGAGCGCACATAGAGCTCGAGAAAGCTCTATCACCATATGTTTTAGTTTTACAGTTTGGCTGCATCAGCAGGTCGTGAAGGCTTGGGTACTTGTAGAGACCTAGTCGATTTCCGATGTTCCAAGAGTTCCGTTAGACATTGCGGACAGAGATCATTCAATGATTTACAAACAAAAAGAAGGCGCTTAAACACGATTCGATATGAGACAGGCAACCACTGAAGTTGTACTAAAGCTGGAATAATATTGTCATATTTCCTTGTACCAGTGACATAATGAGCAGCAAAGTTCTGAATTTGTTGTAACCTCTTCACTTTATACTTTGGCAGTCCAAAGTATAGATGATTGCAATAGTCCAATCGCGTAGTTATAAATGCATGTAAAACTTGCGAGGCAACATTTTCGTCAAGATATCTACGAATTCTAAGCAAACTCCCCTAGTGGTTGCTCGAATACTTACAAACATGGTCAATTTGGGCATCAAAGGTCATATGCCTGTCAAGAATACGACCAAGATTCGTTAATAGTCCATTTTACAGTTGTGTGCTTGGTTGCCAAGACTTTGAATGGGAGTGAGGCTAGGGTTGACCTTGTTATGATACAAACCTTGCTGCCTTTCAAATGTAAATCACTTTGTTATCATGCTAAGTAGATAAAGGTCTCTATCACAACAAGGTCACCTTCAGCCTCACTCTGAGTCAAAGGCTTGGCAACTAAGTACACAACTGTAAAATGGCCTATTGAGAGATGGATGTTCGTTCATCAGAATGAATCATGCAGGCTCGCGAGCACGAGTGGGACATAGTTTGGTATTACCCCATTCACACAACAGGAGCGCTTTTGTTCGAAAACACATATTTCTGTATGCGTTTTTACCTATCACTCCTCCAAAACGCTAAACCAATGATTGACGCTCCTTCCAGGCATATATGCTTGACAACGCGCAGTATGACAGATCGACAAACTTTCTTGATTCGGGAATGAATATCCATGATGAATATCCATGATGAATATGCATTCTGAGCGATGGTTGTGCACGAGATTGCGAGGTAGGAATATCCTTCGCATATGTTTCACAGGCATTTATCGCCCCAGAGGATATGGTTTTGGAACTGATTTGGTTTGAAAACGCCGTTCAGCCGATTTTGACCCGTATGAGCGTAAATCATACATAGTTTACACTTGTAAACCAAGTGCATCAAGTTCCGAAGCTTGCTCCAAAATCGGATAAAGAAAATGGCTGGCATACTTTGATATTTATGATAAAGATTTGGATAACTGGGCGGCACACCTTTACATATAATTCTGCCTCTAACCGCCCTTCCCTCGCCCCACCTTAACAAGGAAATATGCCTCTAACTTCTTTCCTCTCCCTCCCTCCCTCCCTTCTTCCCTTCCCCTGATTTATTTGGGAAAATGTTCTCATGATGTCTTCTTGTGGTTTTTTACTTGTTTTAAGCGAGTTCTAAGAATACTTCAACCTCATTCCCAGGGCGCTTTTCTCTTCAAAAGGGAAAGTGAAAAGCACCCTGGGAACGAGGTTGAGAATACCTCAGCAACTAAACTGCCCAAGGATATTTATTTTTCTGCTATTAAAAGGAGGCTGAATAAATTTGTCCTTGTCATGGATATGAATTTGTTGTCGAGAACGTTCCTCTCTTTGTTTTATAAACTCCTTTCTGTTGTTATTTCGCCAAAGAATTCATGAAAAATATTTATTTTCACGGGAGGTATATTTTTCACTGAGTTGTCTTTAAAGGAGCTTATGATAGTACGGCTATATTTAGAGAAAAAGACTCATTGCATAAACATGGACAACAATAAACGGCACCTTAGGGACCGGTCATTATTTATCGCCTGGGGGGGTCGGAGTATTTTTGTTGTCACATCGAAGCATTTACCTGATCCCCCCGTAGAGTATCTGGTTTTTTAGAGATCCCCCCTTATCGGTAGTGGAAAGTTTCATGATCCCCCCCCCCTTTTCTCCCAGCCACCGCCAAATAACTTTTTGAATATGCAAGTGATATTTTAATAGTGGTACTTACGTCTCATGGACCTTGAACCACAACGGTAAATATTTGCTCGTCAGATACGAACTGAATTGTCGAGGAAGTGCCAATCTCAGGCTGTTCATCCAAATCCACGAAAACATAGTCATCGTCGCTCTCTGCCTCTCCACTTTCGGATTCTTCATCCTCGAATTCCACGTCATCTTCATCACTCGACAGTTCTTCTGTTATCACAGTCTCTTTATTCTGTCGGTAATAGTGACATCGAATGGCCTTCACTTTGTCAAGTTTCCGACCCACAGTCGTCAAACCATGCTTGTTGAGATACAGGTCTAGTTCTCTTACCCGCAACTTTTGAACTTTGCCACCCTCGATGAGGTTATCCCATTGAAAGTCCTTGTACGTTCGTTCGGCCTCTTGCCTTCTTCGCTCCTGAGCTGCTCTTGTTCTGATGTCCTTTCGGATCTCAATATCCTTCAAATGATTAACATATGCAATGACGTGCTTCTCTTCCACATTATATTTTGAGCAGAAGCTCTTCATGGTATCCTGATCGTTTCTGATACTGTCAGAATGTTCCTCGTACAGATCTTTAATACATTTTCTTGGAAGGTAATCATCTGGTGTCCTGCCCGTCGATTCCGTCTGATAGATATCCATGAAATGTCCAGGATTGTTTGAATCTGGTACAGGTTGCGGAATTCTTTCCGTTTCTGGACCGACCCATCTATTGTTAGAACACCAGGAACAGAGATTGGAACTTTCTTCTCTTGACTCTTTACAGGCATCACGACAGAATTCCATAAAAAGTTCTCCACGAATATAGTGGTCTTCCATAAACGATTCGATCTTTCGGAAGTATGCTGCACCGGGCGCTTGCTCTTTGTTTCGTTCTGATGCACCCCGATAGTTGTCGAGGTAAACAGAATTGAAAAAGAATAATTCATCAGGGGACTCGCTTACTTTGCTCTTGATGTAATCTTTAAGGACAGGGGCATCATCAATTCTCTCGGCTACCTGACTACAGACATACCAGGCATTTTTCTCCATCCGTTTCTTTTCGTACTCTTCGTATGACTGGAGAGACAGTTGTTTGATTTCCTCTTCTGAAAGATCCTCAAATCTCCTATATTTTTCCCACTCTAGAGTTGCGCCATCCACAAGAGCATCAGAAATTGCCGAGTTTGTTCTTTCGGCTTCACCTTGCCCGCTGTCGCCCCTCGAACGATGACATCGCACTCTATAATCGGAATTGTGAACCCTTGCTAACTCGGCGTCTCGAAATCTAACTTCGTAGTTGGAAACTCCCACGCCCGGNCCGATAAGGGGGGATCTCTAAAAAACCAGATACTCTACGGGGGGATCAGGTAAATGCTTCGATGTGACAACAAAAATACTCCGACCCCCCCCCAGGCGATAAATAATGACCGGTCCCTTATAAGGCAACACTCCACAGTTCACATTTTTTCCATCCTGAGAAATCGTTTGAAAACACCTGTCTGTTTAAACGAGCTGAACTAAGAAAACCCACTGACAGGAAGGTTATTCAATGTCAGATAGTTCTCACGTTTGCGTTGTGTTAAATTCCATCACCATAAATAAACCTAGTGACTTTAGAATCAAAGAATACCACAGCAGGTAAAAAGGTAAAACGAAAGAAGGAATGAGAATGTTTAGAGAGTAAGAAGCTTAAAAGGAATCTCAGATGACGGACGTTGAGAACTTTGGCTCAGTTTCAACGTATGCTTACAAAACTCCTTTAAAAAAGAAACGAACGTGCCTTGCTTGAGTTTCATTGCATCCTGTGTGATAACCTTAAGCAGGAGAAAAACACAAAGACATAACTGGTGTCCAGCTTCTCACGGTGAAAATTATGTATTTGAATATGAAAAAAAATTGCAATAAAATACTGCTAACCGCGTCACGTTTATCTTGATGATTTTCAGAGTTATTTCATCGAAATTTTTTATCGTCAATTGTTTTTATGTAAAGATCGCCTTTCGCTAACCTTAAACGATCGCTCCCCGAAAGAGCGTACGGTCATAACATTTGGCTAGGAAGTTTCCTCGGAAAGCGGCGGCTGCACGGACGCAGACTGCATTGCCATAAATAAGTGTGACTCAGTTTCAAATGTAGAACCTTAGTCAAGTTGAATGTTTTGATAATCACTATTTTAAGCGAACCGCAAAACATGATAGTGTGACGACAGAATTAGTCAGCCCCAAAACAAAAAGCGTCAGGGAAACGTAAATTGATAGGCAAGTGCTAAAATGAAATTTGAATAGCACATAAATTGTTCAAATTTTTTTAAGTAATTATTTTCTTCACACGTTGGGTGTGCAATAAATACTAGTTCTGGGTGAAAATTAACCTTCAAAGTCGCGCTGAAAATAAGACAGGGAAAAATGAAAATGGGAAGGAAACTGAAATTAGAAATAGACTGTGTATGTGAAACGAAAGGATAATAATAATAATAATAATAATAATAATAATAACAATAACTTTTACTTTTATAGCCCTCTTGTTCTATGTTCAAGGCGCTTTACAACACTGTGCGGGAGACTTTACCAGACTGCCAGTGACAGTTTACAATCAACAAAGGCGAATATTTTACAGATGCCCCATTCCCCCAATACCCAGTAAACAGGCCAGACCACATCACAGTATTCTCGTGATGTGGGTTCTTTAACGTCCCCTGCCTAATCAAATTATCTAATTAATAGATGCAGGGGACGGGACCTACGGTTTATTCGTCCGTAGGATCATCGCATTTGGTATTATTTCATATAGCAACACAATGCAACGTGGAATGAGGAAATTGTCCAATAGTTTGAACCCGCTTAAGTTCCATTTCCGGCGCGCGAGTTGACGTCATAGCACTCCCGGATCTCTTGACGCTTTTCCCACCTTCTCGCGTCACGTTTTCGACACTCCGATGCTCAACTAAGCGCGCCCTCGCGTCTTCACCGCCTCGCGAGCTACCTTGCGCGCAGACTGACACATTTTGCGTTGTCGTTACCATTTGTGCTAAGAATTACGATCCCAAAGGAGTCTTAGGTCAGTATGTTAGCAGACGGATAAAGCTAATCTGTTGTTCAACCCTTTAGTAACTGAAGTGTGGGGGGAATCCTCCATTTAGGGTCATTCATTCGTTCTCCTTGAAACTGCACTTAAAAAGTTGTAAGTGCTCTACCGACTTGTCCTAAGCATGCTCTAAACAAGTGTTTCGTAAACGCTCAACAACCTTCTTTCGCGCATTGCGTGCTTAGTCGAGGTAATCGTGCTTATATTCTTCCTTTGTAAAACAAAACGAACTCAGCCGCGCACGCGTTGCGTCTTACCACCACTCTACCTTATAACCGAGATACAAATTTGTGATAAGTGAATAAGAAGGCACAACGTTTTTCAGCTGTTAAGAATGGGTTCCTTGTTGTCTAAAGCGAGAGAATTATCGAGCTAGTCGCAAACTTCTGCCTCCCGGCTTTGTTTTCATCGCATTGGTCGAAAAAAAAAAACCGGATAGGAAAAATTCAAAGATTTGTTTCCGGAGCTAAGTGTCAGCGCGATAAACTTTTATGAAAACCAACTGATTTAGACTAAACAGCTCCCCTGTACGAAATGGATGAATGGAACGACATCCGGTGGAACCTCTGCACCTATAGAGGCCTCGAAACGTTTCCTCGAATTTTCTCGGATCTCGCAAACCTCGCTCGCGGGTGTTTTACAGAATCACCATCCGACCTTTGCTATCACGTGTGCCGATACAAATTTATGCTGCGTGTTTGAAGATGACCTATAGTCGGCTTAGCTGACTTGATTTTATTTTGAATATGCCTAAATCTTGAGTTTGCGAGAACAAACAACGCTTAATCGCACACCTTCCTAAAACATATAGAGACAAGTGGACAGATCCGCCCTGTTTTATCAAGTTTAAATTTAATATATCAAAGTTTGCCAAGAAAAAAGTCCTTGGCCCAAAACAATATGACCTAATTTCCGCTCTCAAAACGATTATGTCATAATTATCCGAGATCACCCTCTTAAAAAACTTCGCAAACGTTCCGCTGAAACCAGCTTATTTAGTATTGTATTTTTTATTCACACCTTTAGATTAATTAACGTCAAGGAAATGAAATTTATCTTGCACAAAAATAGTAACATCGTATGAATTAAATCTATTGTTTATGTAATTTCCAGGAACAATAGGTTAACGCCGCACCCAGAAAATTCCATGGCAGATCTGTTATGTCCTGCAGTTAGAAAAGAAGCCGTCAGAGGATTTAACCTTTCTCGTTTCCGTGTTTTCACATACCTATCAATTTTTTTTTCATTCCACCTGAGGCATAAACAGGAACAATTATCTTTATTTAGAGATGGTCAAAATACCGCAGCACATGCTATGTGAAGTGATCCAGAGTGACCTTCAAACCTGGCCAACTATCCAGTGAAAACAATATTTAACTATTTATTTTGACATGTTTGCTCCTATTTAGTTAAATATTTAAAGTCGTCATGAAAAGATTTCGAGAGAAAGGCATACAAAGGCAATGACACTGCTTAAAAGATAATTATTAGACTTTTTAAAAAAGTGAAAAATTGGTTGATTTTTCATAGTTCAAATTTTGCGGCATTTATGCCAAAAAGAGCTCAGATTTGACGCAGCTTCAGAGATACGTCCATCTCATTAAGGTGACAGGTGACACTAACATCATTCTCGATTGAAACAGGAAACTACTCTGTCAACTATTTATTTTTCTATAGTCAACGAAACTTGAGACTCACATTGATGCATTGGGTTACAGCGAAGAACGCCGTCATTCCATCAAGTTGACGCCTTCTTTCATAGTTATCTAGCCACCGTAACGCTTGCTGCCTCAGGGTTTGCTCAGTCATTTGGAGTTTAATCGTTGGAAAATTTTTCTGTGTTTTATTGGAAGAGAATTACAGATGTCGCGAGCGAGTGTTCTTCTGTTCGCCTGTTTGGCGTCTTTTTGCAGTCTAACAAGTGAGTATGTTCACTGATAAAGTTGAATAGTGAGATTGTGTCATGTTCTGCTGGCGCGATTATTAAACTCTATGGATATTTCATCGAAACAAGCCCAGTTAACGATTTTCTATGCTCTGTGTAAATTTTTTAGGGCTAAACGAGTGAAATTTGTTTAGCGACATAGGCTTATGTCATAGGGCGGTAGTCAGAGATAAACGTTGCTAATTCGAATGGAGATCTCTTGTGTTGTTCTCAAGCATCTTGACGCGCGTGGCCGATTAATTTTTCACTTCAACGGCTTCATCTTTATCAGCGGACATACAGGGTAGAAATTCTACACTGAGACAGTACGGTTTATTAGTCGCTTCCTCAAAATAACCTTTGTGAACGCCCCTTGTTTCACACGGGGTGGCATTCTTAGAGAGAACAAAATGAAAAAGGCTTCACTTCCTTCTTTCGGTCATCTGGATCTGTCGATTAGTATTTTCTAATTTTAAAGAATTATGCCCTGAGGATTAAAAGTATATTCTCAAGGTAGAAGTTTCGTTGATTGTAGTGTGACATACACAGAAAGAACAAAACTCATTTCAAATTATTGTGTTGAAGAAACGATGAAAGCTGAAATCGAGTACGTCTTATGTTATAGTGGAGTATGTTTTTGTGGAGTGGTGTCGTTCTTTCGTTTCAAATTTTCATTGTTCTCTGTGGGATTATTTTCTATTTTCTGTCAGTTTTACCTTCATCAAGCTCGTTTCGTCTATGACCGTGTATCGGACAAGGTCGTTCGAGAAATATGTTATCATGCTACAAGTATTCATCACCAAACATCAACATTCTTTGTTAGACCTTTTATTTAATTTATATTCAGAGTTGTTCAGAATACACTCAGAACATAGGTCTTTGCTCATTAGTGGTTCTTCCTTCATTTTGGAGGGTAAAATGAATATTTTTGGGACCGTAATTAGTATTTCGTTTCGTCGTATTGCCAAGACTAAATAAAATGCCTTCCATGATAGAATCACGCGCTCCCTTTCAGTCGAAAATTGTTCCAAATGTCATATAATAGGTAAAAAATGTTAGAAGTCTCTTTTCCGAGTTTCGTGAAGATTGTTCCTATGTCATCTACGAAATACCCCAAATTAAGCGACTCACTAGGCAAAACCTTAGTTAAACTCAAATTATTTCAGGTTACTTTTACGATGAACCACAAGTTTACATTCTGAAAAGCTTCTATTCTCTAAAAGAACTCTTTTCGTTTTTGTGTATTTACGCACTATTGAAAAGAAAGCATCTCGGTTAAATATTTGTCCTGTGGGCTTTTAGACTGAATCGAACGTGACCAGAGAAAGTGGAAGTTGTTTTGTTTCACTCAAATTCTATTGTTACAAGCATAGCTTAAATACCGTTTTGCACGCGAAAGAGCTGCCGATTTTTCTCTATTTTGAGGTTGTTTTTTCAATAAATTTTAACGTTTAGCTTTGGTGACAATGAATTTTAAAGTCAGTAACTAGAGAAATGACTGCAAGTTTTCATATTTCTCCTAAAAAGGACAGTTTATAATTTTCCACAATTTTCTTTCGTTAAATTATTCATGACAGGATTAAGCCAAACCAATCGGCTATGGATTTGCAAACGTTTTAAGCTGCCCTGATACGTGCTCTGCCTTACGGCAGTGTACGTCAGTTTAAACTGATATGACGACACCTTTGGGAAAGTTCTGCAATTTTGCACGTTTCCGTTCTGATAAAGATCGCGTACCAAACATTTTGAAAAGGCTTACAAGTTTGTTGTTGTTGTTGTTGTTTTCAGTCCAATTTACGCTAAAAAAAAAGGCAGCTTGCTATATAACATTGGTTGAAGACTCCTCAAAAATGAAGCGTCCTATCAGAAACAGAATGAAATTAGAGTTGAGTTGTTTGTTAAAAAAGATATTGTTCCAAATTAGCCAAATTGAAAATTATGGGTCAAACCATCAATCCGTTATCTCACCTGTTTTTCATCATATTTGAGCTGCAATAAAAATGTTTACATGTGTTGTTCTTTCTACAAAGTCAAAGCTTATCATCCAGCCCACAGTGTAACTAGCTCTTGTTAAAGTGATATTGTGCATGTTTTCAAATTTAAATGTGCTTCATCCCAACAATTAACAACCGTGTCAAACAGATGGGTGAGGAGATTTAAGAAAATTATGAGTTAAGAGTTGTTTTAAACACTTAGATCATGAAGTGAAGGGGTTACTTAAAATACTGAGTTCCTGTTTTAAAATACTTTTTTCCTCTGTTTAACCCTTCAAGTTTAAGATCCAAATAGTATTTCTACCCACTGAGGCAGTTCCTTCTTAATTAGAGGGGGAATTTGGTGTTATGATGACTTGACACCCACTAACTGATAAGCTTGTCTATTCCCCTTACCTATTTGCAAGATACACTGGTAAATTAGATTTAGGCTTAACTACTTAATTTGGTCTTTACATGGCACTGTTTTTAAGCCATATGAAGCTATAAATGGATTGGTTAAAAGTACTTATTTTCTCTTTTTAGTGGCTGATGTAAGTCTTTCAAAATCACTCATTACACCCTCACCTGGAAAGACAAACAGTGTTACGTGCACTGTGACTGGTGAGACATTTATAGGATGGTACAAACCAGATGGAACTAAAGTACTCACATCATCCAGTGAAAAAATTTATGTAGAAACTACCGGAACTAAATACACGCTTAAAATCACTGCTGTAAAAGTCTCTTATGGGGGAACTTATACTTGCCGAGGATCCTCAAACTCAAAATCTTTGAGAGTGCATGTTGAGTGTAAGTAACACATTTATTTATTTTACTTATAACCATGAATTTAGCCAGAACAGATTCCTGTAAATGCATTAATCCCTAAGAGTGAGTAGCAACTAATTTCTTCTTATAATATCACCCCCAAATAAAGAATTAAAAGCAGTGCTTGATTGTTAAATAAATTCTCCTTGTCAGCACCCTAGGAAATGTTTATAGAACAGTCTGGAGAATAATTATCTTAATTACTTATAAAGCAATACATGGTCTTGCCCCGGCCTACATTAATGAGCTAATTTCTGGTAGAGGCACCAGAAGATATGATTAATGTTCCAATGACAGCTTACTCCTTTCTTCTTGCAGGGGCAAAACACTCACCACACTTGGTGATTGATCTTCCCAAGCGGTGCCCCCCCCCCCCAAATTGTGGAACAATCTTGTGGGCTCTATCAGAAACACCCAATCTTTAAACAAGTTTAAGAAAGCCATTAAGACTTTTTTTTATTTTCAAAAGCTTATTAATTCCATTCATTTAATTTTTATATTTTTGCATCTTCTTGGTGAACATTTTTAATTTTTTAGTTTTTAGTATCTATGTAGTTGAATTTTTAACATTTAATTGTAATGCACAATTGAAAATTCTTATGTTCATAATTGTGCAATATAAGTCTTATTACACGACTCGGGCGGTCCGAGGGCCAATAACTAAAATCAACCAATCAAAATGCTCTATTGCCGGTCCAATATTCTCTAAGTATTGGACCGAGCATTGTCCCGAATGGTCCTGAATGATACCGCACTTGTGTCCCTTTGAACTTCTGTCGTATAATAAATCTCTTATTAACCAAGCTTGCTCGGGACCATACAGGAAGAATATCGACCCTCGGTCTTTTTTGTATGGACCTCCGTACGTACTCTGAAGACCTCGGGCCGATATTCTCCCAGTATGGCCCTCGCGCTTGGTTAATAAGATATATATAAATTATTATGGATACTGATGGTAAGGGGTTTATCTGAGAAGTCCACAACTACAGGCAGCCTAGAAAACAACTGGATTTAAGAGACTGAATGAAACAGATTGCAATCAACCTATGCTTCCTATGGCTTCTCTTGAATAAAGAACATACTAGAAAATTGACCAAGAGTTTCTCTGTATATTTCAGTTGACACGTCAGATGTTGTTCATGTGCAGCACATCGTGATAGGAAAAGAAGGCACCATAAGACTTGGGGTTGATGGCTTTCCCACACCAAAATATACCTGGAAGAAAGGGTCAAGAGTGCTTGGGCCAAATGTTGACTCTCGTTACTCAGTTCTTGCTGATGGCTCATTAAAAATAAGTAAAGTGGAAAAGTCTGACAGGGGAAATTATACCTGTGGTATTGAGCAGGATGGTGCGGAGGAGGATGTGAAGATTGAGGTGTATGCAGTAGGTATGTGGTCTGACACATTACAACTTTTCATAGATGGGCTAGTGTTTAGGATGAGTTAGTAGGGATGCCACATTTTGTTACAACTTTCTGTTGAATCACATTTGGCACTTCAAAAAGCAGACTGCACTTTAAATTAACTTTGGACAGAAAAAGTGATCATGCAAAGGTTTTTAATAAGGATAGTGTGGGATAGTTCACTCATGGGTAATTGGAGCAGAACCACTTACATGAACAACATTCCTGAAATTGAAAATCGTCCATCTTCTTTTGCTCAACTGCTGTGATGGATGTCCCTTGCTTCGCAGAATACCATTCAACCAGCTATGTCTGCACCAGTTAGACCCATGTTTTCTGCAGCTTCTTGCCATGGAAGGGAGGGGGTATTTTAAAGGAGTACAGGTCAATTTTGAGTGAGTTAGAGAGGTAGACATCTTGTTGTGTTCCATGAGTGGTTGATTTGGGTAAAGTTGTCTTAGTTAAGGAAGAAAGCAAACGTTCTTCTTTTATTCTCTAGAACTTCCAAAAATCAAGCCATTCGCTCAAACAAGGAGGTTCTTAACAGAGGGTTACCCTGCCACCTTCTTGTGTGAGGCCACAGGCTTCCCTCTTCCCAAGTACAAGTGGTTCTCCCCAACAGGTGGTGAGCTGAGGAAATATGGCAACATCAATATTCAAGATGGTAATCTGACCTTCACAAAAGTCGACAATGCTTTCGAAAGAGGCAATTATAAGTGTGAGGCCTACATCGAGATTGAGGAAACCAAAAAGCAAGTTGGACCAGCGGAAGCTTTTGTTAAAGTGGTTGAAGTTTATGGTATGGCTTAACAAATTTATTGATAATTAACCAGAGTGGCAAGTCCAAAAGAAGCACCATGGATCTACTTACATCACAGAGTTTGGATCTTGAAAAATTTAGTTTATTGTTGGCAATGTTTTGGCAGCCCTCACCCTCAACCAGCTCTCAATCTTTCTTGAATGTTTTACTCCCGCAATCTCTTTGCAGGGTATGGCAGATAGATGTGCATGTATTTCCTTTCTTCCCTTACATTTCAAACAGCAGAATTGCCTTTGCATGCACAAGATCTTGTTGAGTTCTCCCATGCTCTGCAGAATGGCCATTCTGTGTTTTTCCTTCTTCCCATGTTAATTTTTTCTGTGGGTCATTCAACACAACAATGACCAATCAAGGCTGTGCTCTAAGAAAATTTTCAGGGAGCCCTCTGGGTTCCCAACCATTCTAGCTAGGGTGCCCAGCCCTCCAAGTTGGTGGCCTAAAAATTGACTAATTAATAATTTATAATTAATTCCTGTTTTCATCTGTTGATTTTTAATCAAACCATAAATTTCAATAATTCAAGCTGTTTGAAAGCATTTAACTTTTGGTGTTGCTGTTTACCATATATGATACACTGTTAGATAACTTCTGGCTCCTTTGCTGCGCAAACAAGTTTGACTCCCAGTTAATGGTTCCATCTCCTTAATATTTTTTCACAGTGTTAGCGATCTTCAAGATCACCATTCTACAGCTCGAGTCATCTGTGAAGCGCACCAATTTTATGTAAAGCAAAAGGCCAAATGACTGAAATAAAATACCTCCCGTATTAAGAGATTTTTCATAAAAATTTCCTTTTTCGTCCATTTTTCGTAAAAGAAGTGAGGGGCAAAATGAAAATGCCGTACATATTGCAACTGACTGTATGTGGAGAGCTGAAATTTTCAGAAGAATTGACTGGATATTTACCGGTACAGTTAAAAATAGTTGCTAGTCTAGCCATGAGGGCCATCGGGAAAGGTAATCAGTTCTGTACTAAATCATGGCGCTTTGAAAGTGAAACGTTTTAATTTTTTTCCAAAACTTGCAGGAAAACTGTGGGATTCTAGAATAGCTACATTTTAAATCTTTCTGAAAATTGAAACTTCCACACCACACAACAGAGTGTGTTGCCTTATTTAGCAGTAAGCTTGTGTTATTTTTCAAAATGGCAATTGTGTTTCTTTGGATATTTTAAAACCGCTTAGAACTTTCATTCAAAAGCACTAAAGTAAACAAGTCTAAATATGAAATCATTATAAGCTCAGTTCTTGCTAAATCTTCCTAAAGGCATTGGAAGTTGCTTATCACAGCAATCGAGAAACACCTACAAACAAAGCTGGCTTGCCAAAAATTTGCACATAGAAAGAATCTTGGGTTGAAATAGAGATAAACGTGCTACACTTTCGAAATCCATCAAAACACTGAAGTAAATCAGACATTCAGATACAATGAAATATACGAAGTTCATATATTTTGAACTGCGGTTTTAGATACGTATGATGCATGATCCTCGCAGTAGATAGCGCTATTTAAGCAATAGCGAAAATCAGTGGTTCGAATCCCGTACAGGCCTGATTTTTTTCAGGTCTGATTTTTGCTATTGCTTAAATAGGGCTATCTACTGCGAGGATCGTGCATCATACAAATCAGACATTGATTGTCACAAGGAAAATCACGGTGTTCAACACATATTTTTGCAACATCTGTGTGGTTTATAACATGTGAAATGACGGGCACTATTGTTTCAATAATCATTATTTGGTACGGTCCTCGCAGTAGATAGCACTATTTATGCAATAGCGAAAATCAGACCTGAAAAAAATCAGGCCTGTACGGGACCTGAACCACTGACCTCTGCGATACTAGTGCAGCACTCTACCAATTGAGCTAACAGGCCAACTGTGATTAAGCCGTTAAGTTGATTATTAATAAACCCGTGAAAGTGTTAAATCAGATACAATGAATATATGAAGTTCATATATTTTGAACTGCGGTGTTAGATACGTATGTTGCACGATCCTTGCAGTAGATAGCGCTATTTCTGCAATAGCGAAAATCAGACCTGAAAAAAATCAGGCCTGTACCAATTGAGCTAACAAGCCAACTGGGAGCAGGCCATTAAGTTGATTCATAATAAACCCGTGAAAGTGTTAAATGAGATACAATGAATATATGAAGTTCATATATTTTGAATTGCGGTATTAGATACGTATGATGTACGGTCCTTATTTGGGTTTGTGTGAAATCATTATTTGGGTTTGTGTGAAATCATGTGGAACGAAACCTGGCAGTTACTTCAAAATCTTCGAACATGAACAATTCAACTACGTGTCATGTAAAAGAATATTTTTCTGCTAGTAATGCATATAAATCAACCGATTAAAAACATAGCAGTCAATCGCCAGATTTACCATGGAGGTGAATGCTGCACAAGAGGCCGAGTGCCCTCCTGGGCGACCGGAATTTTTTTCAGTCTCCCGGTGCCAAATGTTAGTCACCTGAGGTGACCAGGTGCCGCTAGAGCACAGCCTTGCCAATGCTCAAATTGGGACTAGCACATCAATTGAAGGTTATTGGTAAGCTACCCAAGAGAAATGAATCCATTAAGCAAATCAAGTCTTAATTCATAGATTTACTCCTCTCCTTTGGTTTTGTGTTTCTTGGACAAAGTTGCAACCAGAAATGTTTTTCGGTTTTAAAAGGAGACTCCCAAAGGAAACTAAAAATGGTTTGAGTTCGCAAGGGGTTAGAATTATTGGGTTAGGGGTTAAGTTTCATTTCTATTGTTTATGATTAATAAGGAATATAATGTTTTTACTGTTCTTGCCCTAGCAAGAGTCATTTTTGTACCTTTTGTTTGTTATATATATGAGCTTTTTGATAAGAATGTTTAGTTTATGTTTTCATAGATGTTACCTAATTTGTTTCGCTGACAATTAAAATATGGGACCTATTAATAAGCTATGTTTTAACACTTTGACATTTATTGACTGAGGTCTTCATGTAAAGGTCAAATTACCAGAGTAAATTTGAGAATTAGCCTGAGTTAAAGGGGAGTTTGAGGAAATCAGGTTTGAGTTAGCCAACAGTAAATGACTAAGAAAAATGGGAAAATTGCATATTTTCCCATTTAAATTGCACTTTGTTTGATTTAGCTGGAAGTTGACGAGTTTGATGGTCAGTTTATTAAAGTTTCTTTGGGCCGGGATGTTGGCATCTCTGTATTCAGTATAATTTTGATTTCTTGTTTTAGTTGCACCCGACATTAATCCCACACAAGGTGTTACAGAGGATGTGAAGATGAATGGTGATTACAAATTAATTTGCAAAGCCACTGGAAATCCCACTCCAAATGTGAGATGGACCAGGAATGGAGAGAAAGACCCTCGTCAACAGGTGGGATCCTATCAGTTACTAAATAAGTTATCTCCTGCTTACACAAGGTCACCTATGGCTAGGGTGATGGTACATTTTTTATCATGCATAGATTGCAATAGATCAGTGACAGATATTATCTTCCTTGTGAACCAAACCAGTTGAAAGCTTGATATATGCATCTGTCAAGCCATTCACATATGACATGTATTGTGATAAAAGTTATGCTTTCAAGCATCCTTGATCATTAGATTACTGGTTTGAGAACCATGTTGTTATTTTGTTGTGATTTCGGGGCTCAACGCTTTGGATAGCCAACTAGCCACAGACTAGTAGTGATCATTTACTTTTACATCTTTGTTTCTCTTTGAATTCAAAGAGGAATTTTGCAACACTTCTGGTGGGTACCTTTAACTGCCTCCCAGTTAGCTCAATTGGTTAGAGCACTGGATTGTGTTGTGCGGGAGGTGC